GAAGCAATTATTTGTAATGTTTTTTCACTATATTCGTTTTCACAATTGCAGAAACAATTAGATTTTAAATGCACATTTATATCCATATATTATGATGCTTCCAACCACAAAAATTTTAAAATTATTTTCCACAATTGTTAAACTTTTTGATCTAGAAACAGAAATTAAAATTAGAATATTAGATTTTATTTCACTGCCGGCCGGGTGAAACTTCAGAAATAATTTTTGATTCAATAAGTACTATTTTAAAAAATAATAATTTGAACTATAAAATCATTGCCTATTGTGAGGATAACACTAATGCAAATTTTGGTGGAAAAGCTAGAAGAAGCATCAATAACGTTTTTACGAACTTAACGAACATTTGAACCACAAAATTATTAGAGTAGCTTGTTGGAAAGAAGGAATGGAAGACACTCAGATGTATCCCCAGGGGTGTTCTCTATCAAAATTTGGATGGCTGCAGCATTAGCGCAGTGGAATTATACCTGTATGACCAACAGTTTAATTCGCATATTCCACCACATGATGAAATGATGCTTGGTACTGAATTTGGAAAGAAATGAAGGACAGAAGATATGCTTCTAGTTCCATATAATTTGATATTAGTCTAACACTGACATACAGTGTGTTCATTTTAAAGCAGGTAAGAAACAAAATCATTATTTCAGTCTTGTATCTCTATTATTACAGTTGTTTTAAAGGGAGAATCAAGTAATAGAAAATAAAATAAAAAATAGAAATGCAAAACTCAAATAATGATTTTTTTAAATGATCTGTCTTATAATAAATGCACTGTGTTATGAATAACACAACATATTGCATTACACTTTACTCATATCTCATCACAAGCAACTTCAGTCCCGTCTTCCCTAGGATACTATGTTCAGCTGTTTCTTTGTAATATACATGTCAACAACCTTATATTTATGTTAGAAGATAGGGATGTAAATGTATTGATGTATGCTGAAAATTTGGTGACATGGTCTTCCATCCTCAAAAAAGGTACACAGAAATAGTTAATTAAATGATGTCATGAAGACTTGAGTACTTGGTGCCAATTAAATAACATGCATAGAAACAGAAAAGCCTGTATAACTTTTGTATTGTGTCACAAGCCTTTTAACTAGGAGTTTTATATAATAATATCCATGTGCCTCAATACTAAACTTTTAACTAAATGGGAATTGTCTTAAATAGAAATTTGTCTTGGAATTAATGGATTGGAGGAATTATCATTGAAATAATTGTTTCTAAACATTTAACTACATGGTAATTGTCTTAAATAGGAATTGGTCTTGGAATTAATGGGTGGAGGAACTAACGTTAAGGATAAATAATTTTTTCAATGTAATTAAACAACAGGAGTAAGGTGGGGATATGCGACTTCCACTTTATTTACAACTTACAAACCTACTTACTGTTATGAAATATTCCAGCACTCAATTAATAACTGCCTTTGAGGATTTAAAGAACAAATGCAAAATCAGATTCTTCGCCTTGACTGGCATTGAAAAAAACAACCCTAAGAGTTACTTTTATACTGAACTGGACAACTGTGCATGTCTCATGAGATACAAATTTCCAACTCAAGTTTCAACAACATTCTTAGACTTTCATAGATGTCTCAGATAAACTTTGAGCCACGAAGCTTAAAATTCAGCAGGGTTTTGTTTAATTTACATTGAGGGAAAAACTCAAGGATTTTGATGATTTACTAGACTGGTGCCCTTGTGAAGATACAATAGTTGTGTTTTGATTAGCAGTGGAATATCATTGCTGGGCTGTCCACATGAGTAAGACTGGAATTTTTAATAGTCTTGATTATCTCTGCCATTCTGGCTTTATGGATAGTGATCACTTCCTTCTTTGTCCTGCTCTAACAAAGCATTCTCTACTTAAACATAATTGGGAAGCTGGAAATAACATGAGACTTTTTACACACTATTTTAAAACTTTAGTAATTTAAATTTAGCATTTTAAACTTTAGTAATTTAAATTCTGGCTTGGCTATTGAATTCTAATTTTATGCTTATATGCTATATTTTAATATTGTTTTATCACCTAAGGACAAATTTTCAAAGGTTTTTCTTTTTAAGTATATAGTTTACGAAATTTAACTCATAATATCCTAAAATATGATTTCAACTAACAAGGAATAAATAACATTTTTATGACTTGAGTATCAAGTATAATAACTGAAATTCAAATATTTCTTATTCGTAACATATTTTACTTGTATTCACTATCAAACATGCCAAACTTGAATAACACTGAATCTTGAAGGATCTTAATATCCAGTACTGTAAGCCTGAATACAGATGATACTGTAAGCAGCTTCTGTTTTATTACTTGATAAATACAAAGTTCTAAGATTGAAAACGAGGGGGAAAAAAAAAAAAAAAAAAAAAGATTAAAAACCTAGGAATTGAAATACCACAACATATAAGGTAGAGTTAAATAAGCACGTAACTAAAAAAATAAGAAAACTGTAGCATGTTTTTCTTTAGTACTACTACTTTAATACATTTTATTACCTGTTACAACAAGTTTGATTGTTATGGCATTTGGATTTACAAAGTAGATCAGCTGATTTGCACAAACAGATGTTCGTAGTACACTTTTTTTAACAGCTGCATTTTCTAAGTCCTTGTCCCCCAACTAAAGAAATTTTTTTTTTTTTTTTTTTTACTATTTCACATACACTTACTTCTTCTATACCAACTTCTTCAATGTTCAAAAAATTTTTCTTTACAAAAAATAAACTGCTTTCCTGTTTACAACGATTTTAATTTACCGAACTTACTATCAAAAACATAAAAACTCATCATCTTAAATATCTCTAATAACGGCTATTATTGATTTTGGATCCATTTTTGATCTATCAATATCAGGTACTTTTATTTTAACATTTTTCCAAAAGTATTTGTCCAAATGTAGGTTTCGGAAAGTTTTTAGTAGACACAGTCTTCATCTTCTTTGCCTGCTTCTGAAGTCCTTCCTTAACTGTCTCTCGAAACACTTTCACATTTTGAGTTTTCTTGATAATTGCACCCGTTGTGTCAGAGCATATATCTGGTTCTTTCATTTCAATTCAAACTTTAGTATCTGCTTCCATTGTTATGTCTGATTATTTTTCATATGCATTATTATTATCTTGCAATTCTAAATCAACTGTTGATTCGAGATTAGTTTTCCCATTTTCTGTATTAACCACACATTCATTAGTAATACATACTTATAACTTTTTTCTAAATCCTGTTCAGTGGTCATGTTACTAATCAAATTATGTGGCAAAACTGAGTTAGCAAGTCCTAGCTTCATAAGACAACTTTGCAGGACATCACAGGATAGCTTCATTAAGATGAACATTTGAATCCCTCCTGATATGCTTTGTTTTTTATTTTTGAACAAATTTTAATCCTTCTGACCAATTTCCTATCTTATTTGTTTCCAACATGTTCTCAACATCTTGGTTCACCCGTTCGACAGAACTTTGTGACTGACTGTGTCTCGGTTTTCAGTGAGCTATTTTTATATCACTCCACATTTCACATAAACTGTTTATGATTTGATTTGGTTGCAAAATTCCCTCCTATTATCAGAATGAAGAATGCTCAGGGCTCCAAAAGCTATGAAAATATCCAGAAAGTGATATGCTACTTCAACAATTCTTTTACTGTGTAAACTTCGGAGTAGGACAAATTGTGTAAGATGATCTTGATGCACTCAAATGAATTTCATATCATGATCAGTATTGGACTGCATATCTATTAGGTTGACTTGGCATCGAGAATTCATTTCACTATGCACAACTGATTTAATTACAATCCCATCTTTCACAGTTTTTTTGTTTCTTCTGACATGGTTCGCATAGTCTTAAATATGTGAAAATAGGTTCTACTGTTACATTCTTGTACTTACGATTCAGTTCTTTAATCATGCAAGTTCTTTCACCATGGCCAATTGCAATATGAGTGCTGTGTTGAAGACTTCATCAGTTGTAACATAATATAGGATTTTTGCAAATAGTGATATTATAAGTTTGTCCTTTCCTCCAATTAGAATACGACAGCATTTCAACCTTCTGTAATGAACTGTTTGTTTCTCCATCACATATTTCTCACTTGTTAAATAAAAGCAGTTATCAGGCTTATTTTTTACAAATTCAGACAAAATGTCATAATCTTTTTCCGCATAACATCACTCATTTCCCATCAGCAAAATAAAAAAAGCAAAGTATGTAAAAATGGAAACAAACTTCAGGGAAAGTGCAGAATCACCCCTGCTTAGCGCATTTCTCAAAATCGCCAACTTGAAAATAACAAGTCTAAGAATTGCACAAACTCAGTGTCCATGTACACAACGACCTATTTTTGCTTAAAATAACATCAGAGAATTACACAAACTTGGCACTACGCACTCCCTTGACTTTGTCCATGTGAACATCGATAAGTGGGCGATTCTGCACTTGCGCCCAAACTTCTTCTTTTTTAGATCGTAGCTGCTTACACTTGTTTAAATTATGTCCAAGTTAGACTGCGAATGGTGCAAATAAGGAGAGGCAGGAACAGAAAAGTGTCATGACGGAATTTGTGTGTGCGGAGGCTTATTCAAGGTTGATTTAAATCCCTTGTTTCAGGATTTTACCAGAAGGCATTGGTAACTCCTCGGTTTTACCTCAAAGGCTGAAGTGGAATCATATTAAAGCATACTTCGAGCTTTTAACAAGCTACTTTGGTAAAAGCTAGGTTTTACTGGTAAAACCTAGGATTTACCAGACTTTAGGATCTTACAGTAACATATCTCCATTCATACTGCGTATAATATTTTACTTGTAAAATGTATACGATTCTCTTATATTCTTATATATATTGATTCAAATAATGAATAAAACTTAAATGCAATAATGAAAAACAAGTGCAAATGATTTTTTAAAAAGTACGTAGCTTTTTTTTCATAAATTTTTTCACTTTTATTTATTAAATTATAAAATGAACAAATATCATTATTTCACAATTCACAAAATTACACATATATACAATAGTTAATATATATTATTAGTAATCTTCCTTTTACTTACTGTTTATTCCTAACCTACTTTTTTTTTTTTTTTCTTTATTACAGATACTTTAATAATCCCATTAAAATATTCTCGTGCTTTCATGAAAAGCAGTATTCAGCAGAATTACTAGATTTTATTTTAAATTAGATTTTATTTTAAATGATGTTATGATCATCAGTTATGTTATGATCATGTTATCAAAAACAGCAGTAATATTAAAGAATATGAAGATTTAAAAATTATTAGAACACTGCTCGTATTTTGTTATACTTCTAACTCGGAAAAAAAAAATCTTCCGGATTCTACAATTCTGAAGTTTTAGTTACATGCTCCATTACATAACGCATTTGTAATCTAAGTTTGTTTTATTTGGTTATTAATGCAGTTATATGTAATCATGTCGAAACATTTATCAATACGTAATGGATGTAGTTACCAAATAATTTTTTGCCATCGGTGTTTGTTTACATCATGATATTAAGGATTTTCTATAAACTAAACTTCTCGAAATTCACATAAAAAAGTGGAAAACAGCCAATTATAGTAACCCAGACAAATAGTTTGTGACGTATTGTTGCCACCAGTCACGTGAGACCCGCTAACTTCCGTAAATCGTCAGCGTTTGTAGTCGCATAATTGTAACGGACTTTTATCAATCCGCTAAATTGAAAACTTTGAGTTTCGTATGCCGACGATAATGCTTTGAGTTTTAAAAAAAATATCATAAAAGATATGCTTTTAAAAATATAAGTTTTTTCCGAGTTTTCATGTGGAACATTAAGATTTATTCACGAACAAAAAATTTATAAGTTGAAAAATCCTTACAGAACTTTGAAAAATCTGTTGTTCGAAAAGGCATGAAATTTTTATCAGTAACTTCTTTCAGATGAAAAAGAGAATTATTAATTTGATGAAATAATGATATTTATTACATTCTATATGCCGGTACTTACATATTTAGGGTGTTATTTGAGAGCATATGACTCATGTCATTTGAAAGACTAATTATGTAAATGTTAAAATTTTCAAAATGTGACATGATTATTTCAATTTTAATGCTTTTTAGAACAAAATATATTGTATTTATTGTTTTTAGAAATGAGTGCATTTTACTCGTTAATCATCTAAGATTACAATGCATCAGTTATATATAAATTTTCCATGGTGAATAAAACACAATGAAAAAAAATATGTTCATTTCAAGTATTCCTTTAATGTAAAATCTGTTCTAACATTTTTTTTTTTTTAATGTTTCAATTTACTGGCAGTTTTTGTTAATTTATGATGAAAATACTGTTTACGATGTCTCAACTGCCCTGTGACTTCTAGCTGGAAAAAACATCTCTGCCAGATTATTGAGAGATATTATATTAATTATTAAATGAAGGCTTAAAAAATCAGTCATATTCATACTTAGCATGTAACAAAATTTGTTTTCTGAATGTTCACGCTGTTTTAAAATAGTAGCAGTTCTGCCCTTTTCTACTGTATCGCAGAAAAGTGCTCTAGTCTGTAAAATGGTTAGTGACTCTGATTGTGATGAGGCCAGGTTTGAATATTGGTGAAGGAATATATTCCATGTTTCTATACATATAGTGTCTGTGTAGCAAGGAGGCACTTAAAATACAGTCAAGTGGAAAGTCTTCTCCAGAGTTTGGCGGTGGAGTAAGGGGGTTGGGAGACCCTTGGACTATTCCCTGGAGTGCCTTCTCTCAAAATTGGGAAGTAACTGCAGAGTGTGGTAGGACTGTACCTAAATGGCCAGTGGTGAAATTCTGGTGTCCTGCCCATTTCTACCTGCAGCTATATGAATGGAATATAAAATTCTTTCAGGCAGATACTTTAAAGTTATATTTAAAGAGTGCAATATTTAAATCTCAAATAAATGGTTCTGCTTCAGCTTTATTATCCATTCATTGCAACAGCCGTAGAAATGATCAAGAAATTCCTAATAAATTTGCAGCTGTACCAAAGACATTTTTTGTTGTTTTATGGTAAAAATAATTCATTTATAGCAATTAAATATGTAATTAATTAAAAAATTAATTTTATAAATAGAATCGGTTTACTGTTATATTATTTTCAAGCTTTTTGGTAATTTGAGTAATTTAGCAAAAGAAATGAATGCTTCTTAGCTTAGCATTTAATTAGTTCAAAAGGCTAATGTTTACTGTATGGTACCTCTTGTTTTTTATCTGGAAAAATTGCTAAGCAGTATTGGTTGTTCATGAAACCTGGAAGCCTACTGCAGGAAATACATTAATCAGTAACCCTAACGTTGAAAATGTTGGCAAAACTAACCTTGGGAAAAATTTTGGTTTTCTTTTGTCATTAAAAAGGTGTTATTTCTGCAAATATCGCCACACGTGTTGTGATAAATTTAGATTTTGGCTATTTTTTTTGTAATAGTAACCCTTTCATATGAATCCGGATTTGGTTTTCAGTTGCTGTGTTTGCTTGCACGTGCGTAATATGGTCTTGGATTTTGAACTTGCTATTATTTTGCTGTGGTTACCATCATTTGAGTATATCTCAGTAGATAAGCTGAAACGATGAAAAATGTAATTGAATTGCTTACCTGGAGAATGGAGGGGATGGTTGTGGGAAGCCTAAATGTATGCACTTGAAAAAAAGGTATGTTAAAAATTTGGTGTCTCTGTGTGTTAACTTTTGTTTAAAGATTTGTTGTTTAATGTTTTTATGTTAGGAAATGTGTATTTTTGATTATTTATTCATCTCTGTTTGCGTATTTTTGGTTATTTGTTCGTCTCTGTTTAAGACAGCGGCAAATTTTTTTCTGGTTACCATGATAGTTTTAGCTTCCTGATTTTATTTTAGTGAAAATAGATGTGTACATGGACAAAGTTAAGGTAATGCTCAGTGTCTAGTTTGTGCAATTCTCTGATTTTTTATTAAGTGAAAATAGGTCAGTGTGCACATGGACACCGAGTTTGTGCAAGTCTTTGACTTCTTTATTTTGTTTTTGTGTAGTGGCCATCTTGAAATTGCCGTAGATCCTTCCTGGCACCGATCTTGGCGTCAAAAAAGAAATAATTCGCCAACGGGTACCGTAGAATAAATTTTCACCAGTTCAAAAATTAAATTCATTTTCTAGCTTATTGTAATTATTATAGTTTAACTCTTCCCAAAATATAATTATATTATTGATTTATAAACATTAAGGAGACTTAGTTTGGTTGATCTTTGGATTATGGTAACTTGGCGAAAATTTGGCGACTAACTCTGCTACAGCAACCCTCTATTTTTTTTTTTTCGCCGCCATTTTGTCTTCACGAAGTAAAGACATGTTTCTTTTCTTTTTATTTACTGAACACTTTTTCCAACAATCTACTAGCCGAATTACACTTATGCTAGAAATTTTATGTAACAAAACTGCTTAATCATGACAAATATTAACTGCAAAATTGGGAAAAAAGTGCACAATCGCAAACTCCTTGCGCGTTTTTCAGAATAGCACATACACATAAACATAAACCATTTACACGTCGACTTATTTTTACTTAAAAAAACATCCCAGAATTGCACAAAAATGGCATTGCACACACTCTCTTAACTTTATCCATCTACACTGCTATTTTCTCATAAATTACAAAAATTTGCACGAAAATGCAAAAAAATTCTGTGAATCTTTAAACTCGGTAAAAAGCACATATATGAAATTACCTGATCGCGAAAAAGTATATACCCTTTCCAAGGATGAACATTTCCACGTATAAAATAAATAAAATATCCAAAAACTTTTACCTCTAAATTATCTATTATATTATAAACGTCACCAACGAATTCATACCGCAAACATTACAAATGGTTACAAATACTTAGTGTCAAATATTTAAATTATTTCCATACACGTTTACTTCAACTGAAACGTATACCAAATTCCTACAAACATAAAATTCACAAAATAACTATCATTTAATTAAAATATCACTAAACCATGTACACGTCGACTTATTTTTACTTAAAAAAACATCCCAGAATTGCACAAAAATGGCATTGCGCACACTCTTCACTATATCCATGTACACTGCTTTTATCTCATAAATTAGAAAAATTTCACGAAAATGCATGAAAATACTCAACGTATTCCAAAATACTACAAACATATAACTCACAAAATCATGATGATTAAATTAAAAAACACTACTTAAAATATAAATAAGCACGTACATTAAATTAATAAAAATTAGATTACAATCCTAATTACTTTACACTAAATCATTGCTAATAACAATTTTCCAATAATACCATATTAATTTATTTACTCCTTACATTTAGAACAATGCATAAAAATAATATCCTCAAATGATTAAAAATACTAACTTACCTAATCTTCAGAATCTTCATTACGTGGCATGCACACTTCCACTATTTCACACAACACACAATGAAGCTTAATACAAAATAATATAGTAGTACTACAGTTTTCCAAATTCCCCCTCCCCCCTTTTCCGATTAAAGAACTGTAATTTGTCCACTAATGTCACATGACATATCTCATGATCTCTCATTTCCCTCACACAAAATAATGCGTAATCGGAACTGAGTACTTCTCACATTATTACCAAAGTCCTAGGTAGTAACCTTTATCGCCTCCAAAATGTTGCCAAACTACCAGTTACCATATTCCAAAGATCAGCCCTTAGTTTTTTTTAGGAGTTTAGAACTATTTCAGTTGCTTTTTGGTTTTTTAGAGTTCTTTGAATTTAAATTTGCTATTTGTTTGCAACTAATGTATTTTTGTGTTTTTGATTTTGTGTAAATCCGGATTACTTATATGTCAAACTGAAACATTTTACTTGTTATGATGTTAAAAAATCTTTCTCAGATATCAAAACTGTGATGTATTTTTAGTGTTTTGATTCATTTATTTAATTCTTTTGCATTTATTTATTTTTCTCTTTGATCTAGGTGTATATTGAACATGCAGTGTTTATTAAGAATAAAGAGGGAACTGGAAAAGTTTCAAAATCAACCTCCACCTGGCATATCATGTTGGGCAACTGAAAATATCCAGGAACTCAAAGCGAGTATGTTGATATATTAACTATAAGTATTTTAAAAAGTGCAATATTAATCATTTAATCCTATTATTAATAAATAAACACAATGCTCTCTCTTGCCACTTTTAAACTTATGACTGTTACATGGTACTGATTTGATTAAATGTTTTCAAATATATAGGATATTAAAGCAATATATTGAAAAGATGGAGAGTTTTATATTAGAAATAAACCTCCCAGAAGAACTTAAAGAGGAAAAAAGTAACAAGAACTGATTTAATGCTTCATTACATACAGGTATACATGCACTATTAACCTTCAGGAGAATCTGTTTTGCCAACACCATTCAATAATGAGAGTTCAACTCGGTTTTAATTCCAATGAATGGGTTGGTTGCATGGGTATTTTTGTAGTTTCCTCATGTGTAATGTGGAATACAAGCCAGTTATCCTTAAAAAGCCTTCTACAAAGGAATCCCGTAAGTTGTAAATCTAATGATCAGTGCACTAGTACTACTTAAATACATAATGCATGATCTAAGTAAATATGTTGTAAGAACAACATCCTCTTAAAAGTCTGTAATAAATCCACTGTCATCATCAAGTAAGTAAATTTTTTAGGTACTTCCTTTTAGTGACCTTCAAGATTAAATTGCTAATCAACCGAGGTATCTTGCCTGTTGTTAGCATCATGTTGCATTTTGTTCTCTTGTCACCTGTTCTTATATTAGCTTCGTCTTTCATTTTTCCTAAGTTTTTTTTTTTTTTTTTAATTCACATTGCTTTTTTTTATTTTTATTTATTTATTTATTTATGTTAATATGCGATTAACAAACTTTAATTTTCCAAATAAAGAGGTGGATGCCATATCATTTCCTCAAAACACGGGTCTTTTACCTGACAAACAAATATGCAAAAATAGCCACAACATGAAACTATATGTTAACAACAAAACCATTTGGAGGTGCAATATTCAAAATTATAAAAAGAAGAGCTGTGTTGGAGAAAATGGGTTCAGTAATTTCTGAATATTGTTTGTCACAGCTATTAGATTTATATACTTTTGGGTAGAGTTGATGCCCATCAAATAGTGTCACAGCTTAATATGAGTAGAAATGCTGCTATTGATTGGAACAATTACGTGAGGTAAATGTGTTCCCCTACATCTGTTGCAAAGATTCAATGAGTGAATAGGCAGTCCCTGTAAAGTAATTGAAATTAATAAAAGTTTGTTCCCTTGATGTAAGAACAACAGCGGTAGAATACTCGGTGGATTTTGGAGGAATATGTTTGGGAAGGTAGCGAGTGATTTATCATTCATATCTCAAACAGCAATACAACATGAGCAAAATATAGCAACAATCCATTCAGACTGCTGGAAGGGATATAAAACAGAATAGTCTGAAGAAGTTCCCCCTTGCCCTAGCTAACTAGGCTATTGGTGAGGGTTGTGTTGATAGTTATTACCCTGATATAGAAGTAGATCATACCCATATAATTACGTAAAAGATTATTATTGATCATACCCATATGCTAAGGAATATGATTAAAAGAGGTAGCAAAAGATGATTATGTGTATTGCACTGATTGCTAAGCCTTCTAATTAAAGAATTTTATAACTACACACCAGCTCGTGATTGGCTATAGAGGTTAAAATTAATTCCCGAATGCCTCATGTTATGTTTCCTCTTTGTGGAATGGGCTGGAAATTAAAACTTTACACAGTAAATATTATAAATATTTCTCTTTTGCTCCAACGTACAAACTTGAAACACAACTCACTTATATCTTTAGAACACAATTACAAACTTTGTTCATTTAAAAGTAGAAATAAATTACTTTTAGCTTTTTACGAATAGCAGAAGCATGCTCTTTCGGCGAGCAATGGATGGCGTGACACACTGGGCCCCCACGACCCCGTCATCAGCTGAACTAGAAATATAAACTGAAATATAATGCAACACATAAAAATTAAACAAACTGTAAATATTATTATAAAACATGAAATAAATCAGTCATTTATAGGAAGTCTGACCAGTTTATGTATTGGTGTTTTCATTTCACCTGACACAGTTCTTAAGTTGACTGACCTTACTCTGGTCAGTTTCCTTGTAAATGCAAATTACTTTTGGCATCTTCCACTTAAGTGGCAGCAAGTTCTCATCCTTGATTAGCACCAAGTCATTCATACGTAAATCGGCACTGGGAAGTTTCCACTTGTTGCGCACTTGTAACTGAGTCAAGTAGTCTTTTGACCACGATTTCCAAAACAATTTTGAAATCTGTGTGACTAATTTCCATCGTTCACGGATGGGAATTTTGTCATTTGTAACATCAGGCTCAGGAACACCTTTTAAGTCGAACTCAATAATAAAGTGACCCGGTGTAATGACAGTCATTTGGGTCCTCAGAAGCAGCCATTAAAGGATGAGAGTTAAGTATAGCTTCAATCTCCACTAGACACGTTAAAAATTCTTCTTGTGAGAGGATCTGCGATCCTATAGCTCGTCTTATGTGGAACTTCATCGATTTAACGGCAACCTCCTACAGGCCTCCAAAATGAAGGGCTGATGGAACATTTATTGTCCATTTAATGCCTTCGTTGGTCAAGTAAGTACCAAGTGTCTCTATCGTTTCTTGTATCATTTTTAAGTAATTCTTTGCACTCATAAAGTTCGTTTCACAATCACTGAATATTTCATCTGGCTTTCCTCATCGTCCGATGAATCGTTTCAGAGCTGCAATACATGCCTGAGCACTAAGATCACTAACAAGTTCTAAATGGACACCTTTTATTGCAAAGCATACAAACACACACACGTACATTTTCAGTGGTTTAACTCCTCTACCACATCTAGGACTGATCAAGAATGGTCCTGAAAAGTCAGTTCCGCATTTATAAAATGGTCTTCCGAGATTCATTCTTGCAGAAAGTAAGTCGGCCATCATTTGTTTCGAAAACTCAGGGCAAAATCTGGCACAGATAACACACTTTCATATTCTCTGCGTATTGCAGTTTTTGCTCCTATAATCCAATACTTTTGTTTCATCACAGAGTTAACTAATTGTACTTCAGCATGCATATAATTAAGATGATAAAATGTCACTAATAATTTTGTAACAGGATGATTCTTAGGCAATATTATTTGATGTTTCACAGACTCTGATAAGCTGGCATTTCTTAAACGCCTCCTACACGTAGTATGCTACTGTTGTCTAAGAACGGATTTAGAGAAATTAAAGAACTTTTCTTTAACACTCTCGCTTTCTCTAAAGTAGCTACAGTCAAAAGTCGTTAATTCGGACACCCATAATCCGGACCTCAAAGCTAAAAATTTTCTGCGCATGCGCCGCGTTGACACATGCGCATAGGCGTTTACGCGTGTGTGTAAGACCTCTTACGACTGCGCATTTGCGTGTGCGCAAGCGCAGAATACGTTTTCGCGTGTGCGTATATGTATAACGAATGGTATAAGCTAAAATTATCTATTTCAGTTAATGTTGATGATTGCGTTGTTCCTTAATTTTTGAATTGGATGCGGCTTATTATTTTTTGCAGACTGTAAGAGCAATACTATAAAAGTAAACTTGAACAGATTATGTCAAATAGAATTTCCGAATCTGGAGCTCCCAAAGGATCGTACAAAACGAAAGTATGTTTCGATGTCCATCAAACAAAAAGTGGAATTGCTGCAAAAAATGGATAAAGACATGAAGAATGTGACAGAGAGGTTAGTGAAAACGAAAAAATTTCGATTGACAAGTTAGTCGGTATTCTCGGCACAGCAATTAACGGGACTTGAACAGCGGAACTTTGTAACTGAACAAGAAATTATGTCTGTTTATAGAATTAAAGAGAAAGTATTATCACATAAAACGAAGCAACTTAAACAACTTACATTGAAAGAAATGTTTATTAAAGTAAAAAAATAAATATTAAGCTTTTTTTTGTAAATTTTGATACCCTTTAGATCATAATTGTTCTTTATTTCATAAATTATGGTTTCATATTTTTAATTTTAGAATTTCTGCATGCCATCTTACGTGATTTAAACTGATGATCTATAATCCGGAATCGCCGAAGTCCCGACGAGTCCGGATTAACGACTTTTGACTGTATTTCCTTTTTATACTCGGTTATTTAGACTAGTTTGATTATACCATCGTGCACTTGTTTTAGTTCACTTGTTTCTAAGAAGAGAGTCAAAATCCTATTCCCCCTCACATTTCTTATAAACCTTAAACACCAAGCGACAACTCTCTGCAACTTGTCCAAACTGAAAATTTGTTCCAAAGCTGCTCAACTAATTCCAACTGAACTACAAAGCATTTGACAGAATTTTTTCTTTGCTCTCCTAGTATTTCTGTACTGTCTACATTTGGTAACCCACTGTTTAGGCCAACTCTCAAAACTTTTCCGAAGCCAAATGGGGACCTACCAGCATTTTTCGTTAAGTACCAACTCCTCAGCCGAGATTCCTCTAGTATGCAAATCTGTGGGATTATCGTCAGACAGGCAATAATACCAATCACTTGGACTCGATCTTTCCTGAATTTCCACAACCCAGTTGGCAACGAATTGTTTCCATCTCTTCGCACTTCCCTTCACCCAATGCAAAGCAATACAAGAATCACTCCAAAACACTATTCTTCCAATTTTATCCTTAAAAACACTTTTAAGGTAATTTCCCACTCTAGCGCCTATTACCATGGCCATTAGCTCCAACCGCGGCAGCGTTAGTTTCTTTAATGGTGACACTCTAGTCTTCATTATGAAGGATACTCTGTAACTCCCATTATTCTCACAATATCTAAAATAAACAACAGTTCCGTAAGCACTTGGCGAAGCATCACAAAACACTTGTACTTCCGATTGCTCATTCTTACAATTTAAAAAACAATATCTCAGAATAGTAATGTCTATTAATTTTTCAATTTCATTACACCACGCTATCCACTTTTGCTGTAAGTCCTTCGGCAACTCTTCGTCCCAATCACACGCTCTCTCCCAAACTTCCTGTAACAGTAACTTTATACGTATCACAAATGGTGCAATCAAACCAATAGGATTAAAGATTCTTGCAGCTGTCTGTAAAACACATCTTTTAGTGTGTCGCAACGTTTTCCACGAATCCACCAAACCCTTCACCTCCAACGACAACTCATCTCTATTAGGATTCCAATTCAACCCTAGGATGCGTTTTGTCATAACATTCTGATGAAAGCTGCCAGTTCATATGATGAAATATATATATATGCCATATCATGAAAGCTGCCAGTTCCTCATATCCCGCCCCATATTTTTATTGAAATTTTTTGAAAGTAAAATAAATTAAATAAAAAATCTGAAAGTTTCAGATTTTATATTACTCCCAAAGGGCCCTTTTTTTACTGTTTTGTGTGCTACCTTTATTTATTAAGTATCATGTTCTTTGCACTTAAACCACATAACATTCAATTCAACAGCAATATCACAAAATATTTAAAAACTGCTTAACTTTAGAATTTCCAATAGACAGACTCATGCCCTGGAGATAAAAATGTTTTTTTCTTGTACTATGTTGCCATTGCTCACTTTATTATTGCTGAGTTTTTTAATCAAAAATTCATTAAAATTTTTACAAAATATGAAAGAGATAATAAAACAAATTCAAAAATCAAAATTTAGGCTTCCAGGTTTTCATATTTGGGTGGAGGATTTTGTTATTCAAATTTGATGCTCTAGGTACCGTTGTTTTTTTTCACAATGCGAAAAACATACATACATTCATGCAGATTCTTCATTATTTAATTTTTTTAAATATGATACAGAGCAATAATATTTGGTGGCAACAATTTGAAAAGTGATTGAGACTTTCATGGTGATTTAACACAAAATGCCGTTTTGAGACTAATAGTCCTTCTGGGCTAATAAAAAGGCAGCATACATTTTACATTTGCATGTTCAACAAGAAGAAACGTGCCAGAATAATTGTAAAATTAAAATATATATAATAGGTTTGTCATAATAAAAGGCATGTTTGGAACTGTTGTTATCTGAGAAATAGTTTTTTAATATTGATTAGCAGATTGTGCTATTGATTCATTTAAAAAAATGTTTTCATTTTATGTGTTTCAGGTGTAATTGGACCTAGTGGTACACCATATGAAGATGGTATTTTCCACATTGATATACAAATACCAGACAGGTAAATTAAATTTGGTCAAAAAATTATTAGATAACATTTAAATTTTCTAATCCATAAAATGCTAATATGCTTAATATACTGATTAGATTTTTATTTACAGTATAGGTTACATTCCGTTTTTCTTAATTTTCGTTTTCCACACTGCACTCTCTTTCTAAAAATTCCTTCCAAATATTATAATAAAAATTTAAATATATAATTAGTTCTTGAATTTAATTTAACATTAATGCCACAGCATATTTCATTTTTGAACATATAAACATTCTTCCAACTGGATGGTGAAATTTATCTTTTTTGTTTTGTCAGAAAAGAATTATTGGTAAGCAATGTACAAATGATTTGAGCCATTAATTTTAGTATGCACAAAATAAAAATTGCTTGCATGTAAAGGTATAATATGCTTTTGCTATTTTGCAGATTATCTTTTAAATACTAGATTCAAACATTCTTGCAAAATGATATTGTCTGTACCATACTGAAATCACATATGGTCAAAATCATTGTTTCAAGAAAAGTATGTTTAAAGGTTTAGCATGTTGTTAGTTTTCAGGAAATTCAAGTTATGACTTCACGATAATTCTTATATAATTATCTTACATAACATAAGCTCTGTCTTTTAGCATAGTGTAAAGCAGTGGTCTTCAGATTTTGTCAACTAAAGAAACCTCTAAAACTGCAGTTTTTTTTTTTTTTTTTTTTTTTTTTTTTTTGTGGAATCCTTAAAACTATATGTGTATGCATTAATGATACTTGATCTAAACGCACTTAATTTAATCTCCAATTATACTCAATCCAATCACTCGGCGGCCCACCAGCGGCCGAGCGGTAAAGTCGCTGAACACTGGTAGTCGGTCCGAGGTTCGAATCCCGCGAACGGGCTGGCTGCATGGGCGTTTTCGTGGTTTTCCCCATGTGTAACGTGTATACGAGCCAGTTCCCCTTAGAAAGTCCTCCACGAAGGCATCCCTCCTCTTAGGCAGATAGCCCTCGAGGCTTTGCCATACTCACAAACACAAAACCAATCACTCGGCATAATTAAAAGCACTGAGTAACCTTACTAGATGTCTAGAGGATTTTCCCCAGTCCTTATTTATAATCCTATGTACAAACATATAAAAGCAATTGAAATTTTTATTGGTACTTCAGCTTGAAATTGTACCTAAAAAATCAAACTTTTTATTGCTTGTGGTCTAATAATGCAATAACAGTTTAATTATTTTTAAATCGCATATTAAAAACTAAGAACTTTTTTTCTGTGCTAATGTACCTTCTCATGTAGAACAAATGAAACTTAATTCACCAGCAGTCAGCCCAGCCCTCCAGCTGCTTGACTCAAATGTTGCATTGCACTAGGTCCAAGTTGCGTAAGCTGTTTCTCACTCATTATTTAAATTCAGTAGAGTAGGTGTAACTTAATTTAATTATGTTTGCTCATAGCTATTTTGATAACATTTAACACTCAGAAAAAATATCTTTCAAAATAGTAATGAAGTTTAACTAATTAATATAACTGAAAACACCTAAATAGGTATTTTCACAACATTTTATTCAAGAAAATATAAAAGTTTCAGCTATAATGTGTTTAATGCAAAAGTTAATTTATGAATTATTAATAACGTTTCTGAAAATTATTTGACTGGTGCTGCACTCCTAAACCTTAATGTTCAAAAGGCATCCCTCAGACAAGAATTTGCCAATTTAAAATTAATCAAAACAACTACCTTAGTCTGGTTTAGATGTTAGGGATTGCATTTTTTTGGGGGGGGGGAATTCTGCAGAATTTTTAGTCCAAAGGGGCTTTGTCCCTGAGGGACTATTGTTTTCGTTTTGAGATTTTGTGTCGAATCGCTCTGAATGTCCTTTTTACTTTTCAAACTGTTGCCATCAAATATTATTGCCTTGTATTATATTTGAAGGAATTAAATAATGAAGAATCTGCATAAACGTAGGTATGTTTCTCGCATTGTGATAAAACAACGGTACCTAGAGCCATCAAATTTTGAATGACATAATCCTACTGCTAATATGGGCATCTGGAAGCCCAAATTTGAAATTTGGAATAATCCAAATGATAATGTTTACTGCAATCATCTTAAACAACATTTACTATAATTTGCATTTTCTGGTGAAAAAAGACAAAACAATTGAGATTTAGCATAAAAAATAGGTTAATTAAAATAAACTTTACAAAACAATAATTTTGATGGAACCCTGCCATCTTTTGAAAAATAAATGTTATAAAAAAGACTTAAAAAGCATTGAAGATAAATCAGTATTATGTGTATTTTATGTGGAAAGAGAAATACTTTTTTGTTATAATTTTATTCTCAGAAAGAGACTTACTTTATATTATTTTAATTAAATAACAATAAAGATAGAAACATATATTTAATTAATTATTTTCTGTGGTTCATTTTGTAAGCAATATGGTATTAAAAAAAATTTTGAATTTTACTGATAGAAACCCTAAGAAAAGTAATTTGGAATCCTGAAATTCTATACAATTCCAATTTAAAGCCCTTTAAGTAAAGCATAAAAATTCAGCATAAAATGCAAGTAAATATTTAAAAAAAAAGTGTGAAGTCATAGCAATGGCATGGGGCTGTCAATATGTAAGGCAAAATATTTTTACCAAATTAATGGAATTTTATTATGTTTTTCCTTCAACACTTTGCTGCAGCCGGATGTTAAAAAAATATTATGCCATTTAATGCATCTTCTGTACTGTCAGAATTCTGAATAGAAACAATAGGCTTTTCTGACGGCAATGAATCATTAATGGGTATCTGAATTGGAGCATTTCTAAATATATTCGGATATAAATGGACATGATTTCCTTAACTAAAACTAAAATAATATTTTCCAAGATACCACTACAGATAAAATCGTTAAAACTCAAATTGATTTCCTAGCAGCAGAATGGATTGATTTGATTGTATAGATATTTTCTAAATTTTTGTTTGTTCTTTTTTGTAAAGTAAATGAGTCTTTGTCTCTTAAGACTTCATGCTTTTGGATGAAGAGCAGTTGGATTACTTTATCTAATAAAATTATGTACTCCTTTTAAAATTTGTTTTGTTGTATAAGATTTATTTATGCGACTTAATTAAATTTTCTACTCTTTCAGATATCCATTTGTGCCTCCAAACATGCATTTCAAAACGCCTATTTATCATCCAAACATTGACGATTCAGGAAGAATATGTCTTGATATACTAAAAATGCCTCCACAAGTTAGTATTTCCATATGCATTTTCTTGAAATTAATATACTGTTATTGTTCGTTATTAAAATATTAATAGCATTAATTTCAGCACTGTTAATTTTAATGTTAATTAAAGACATAGTTTTTTAATGTTATTGCATAATTTTAAGTATTTGTAATTTATAAAAGGTAAAGACATACTAGGTAGTGTCTTTCATAACAGAGAAATTGATCTTTGAGATTGATACAGTACAAAATCTGAAATTCAGATGATCAATATCCAGAACAATCTAATGTCCGGACCACCTGCCAAATAAATAAATAAATAAAATAATAGAAAATTCCACCCCCTTCCAAAATCTATGAATAGAGAGTATAATAAAGAAGCTGGGAAGCAGATGTATCCTAAATGTAATTTATTTCAACTAACTGCGATTCCTGCATGTCACTTTCATAAACCTGCTGGTTAGGGAGTCTCACTGCCAGTGCAGGATTTACGTTTAAGTTACCCAAGCTATAACGTAGGGCCCCCAAAAATAGTACAGTATTAATATATAGTATAGCAGACTCATAAAGGAACCCCATATCTCAAATAGCTTAGGGCCTCATCAAGTCTAAATTCAGCCCTGCTCACTGTGGCCAATCAGTGATATTGGCAGGATCACACTTTCAGGCTTTGAAAGATTGTAGAGGCTGGTGCAGGCCAGAACTGTGCTAACCAGTACAATCTCTGCAGATACTAAATGCAGCTGATCAATACCTCCCTCAGTTCTAAAAGTTTTGTTGCCTGTATATTCTATGCTAGTGGAAGTACCCGATGACAGTCAAGCTAAATTGAGAGTAATATATTTAACAACAGAGCGAATGATACCGCTGTAATCCTTCTCTAATAATGATGAAAATTTTTAGCTGAAAAACATTTTTCAGTCTGATGCAATATGGAACCCGCATAAAAAATTTCAATAGAATAATAAGCTTATTCTGCCTTGTATCAGCAACAATGCCTTGCAGTTTTTAATGATTTTCGTCTTTCTAATAAAATGGTGGTAAAAGCTCAAGTTCCATCCAATATTTCGCCTATATACAATATTAGTCGATTAAATATAGCAAAAAAGTGATCACAATTAATCAGAAATCAATAACACGAACAAACAAACACACAGATATTCTTCCTTATATAGATTTTGTATAACTTATATAGATTTTGTATCAAATTTTTTATTAACAAACTCTATGATTTAAAAGCGAGCAGAAGCAACATATTTTGAAATAAAGCATTTTTATCTCCAACACGTGAAACTGTTACCACTCAGAAAAATGAGTGCGAAAATTAAAGTTTTCAGAGTTTTTAATTAATATGTCTGTTGATTAAAGTGATGCGAAGATAGGAATAGTCGAAATGGCTTCCCATGAATTTTTGGAATAGGGAATAATATATTTAATCTTTCGCCATGCTATTTTTATTTCATCGTAAAACTTAGAATTTTTTTATTAACAAGCCCCAGGATTTAAAAGCATACGTATCAACAACTTTCGAAATAAAGCAGATTTTCATCTCCAGCTTGCCGCTCGGAAAAATAAGGGCAAAAATTATCTTTTTTTTTAATGTGGACTTCGACCTTTTCCAGGACCCAGAAAAGAGTTGTAGGAAGTTTGGTGACAATAGCTATAGTAGTGACTGAGTTATTAGAGGATAAACAAACTTTCTTCTTTATATATATAGATATATGCCAGTGCCTCTCTTAAATTCTGCAAATTCTGTCATCCCTTTTAAATTCTGTTACTTATCAATTGTGCCTGTTCAATTGCCTCACCTATTGTACCTGTGGGGGAGGGGGACTAATTTTTTTTTGTCTAACCTAAAGAATGAGTGAATCCTCATTATTGTTATGTCTGCATGTTGTCTTACTAGATTTAAATATGAAATATGGTAATTTCCAATTCCAGATCTTAGCCTTTTTACTGTATCACACATCCAAAGACATTGCTTATGCCAGATATAATTTATAAGCTGCATTAATACTTTTTATGAAGTACATTGAATAATTATTTATGAATCACAGACATTCATGAGATTAAACTTTCCATTGCTATTACCAATATATATTATAGTATATTAGCTTACTATAGTCACATTCATTTTGGTAAAAGCAAATGTTATTGAATTGGACAAATTTTCATATTCATCCATGAGAGTTTTTGTTAATTCTGCCCTATGTGCATGAAATTGTAATTAAAACAATTTATCAATTATGACAAACAAGGATTTGAAAAATTAACTTATTTTTTATCATATTCTTACCTTTTTTTTTTTTTTTTTTTGTTGTTGTTGTTGTTGCATTTATATATTTTACATGCTCCATCTTTATATCCAGAAGTTTTCATGCATTATTTTAAATTAAAGAACTAAATATCTCATTTTATATTCAGATTTTAATTTTTCTTTTAATAAATCATTGTTTACATAAGCTTTTTTTCATTTTCAATGTGTAAAGGGAGCATGGAAACCTTCTTTAAACTTATCAAGCACACTGATATCTATCCAGGTGCTTATGGCAGAACCAAATTTCAAAGATCCATTGATGACTGAAATAGTAAGTCTATTTTCAACAGTGAAATTATGTATATGTATGCTCTTGTGTTTCATCTTGCAGTCAAAAAATCATGTTTTTAAGTTTTCTGTTGCCAAAATTATTGAAGAAACTATTTTTAGCTGAAAAATTGAGCCAAGTACCTAAAGCCACTAAATAATGTTAATTAACTAATGGTTCTATTCATGATAATTGAATAGACTTCTTCTTTTAGTATTTTCTCCATGTGGTTTTCCTTTTTTGTAAGTATAAGCTACTTATTCTTTTGTGAAGGAAGTCCTATTTGAAAGCATTCCTATTAGTTCACCTGATTATACACTCTTAGGAAAAAAAAAAAAAAAACACGCACCAAGAAGGAGTTATCCGAATGGGACAAAAATTGGTAGAAGTGATGTGAACAAAACAGTGATGTACAGAAAAACAAATGATTACAGTTTGAGAAAAATTTGATGATTTATTGAAATGATAAAGCTTCACAAAATGAAAAAGTCAGTAATGCGTCTGTCCATCTCTGGCCCTTATGCAAGCAGTTATTCGGCTTGGCATTGATTGGTAGAGGTTGCGGATGTCCTCCTGAGGGATATGGTGCCAAATTCTGTTCAACTGGCGCGTTAGATCGTCAACATCCCAAGCTGGTTGGAAGGCCTGTCCAAACGTGCTCAATAGAAGAGAGATCCGATAACCTTGCTGGCCAAAGTAATGTTCAGCAAGCACTAAGGCAAGCAGCAGAAACATGTGCAGTGTGGGGGCGGGCATTAATTTACTGAAATGTAAGCCCATGGTGGCGTGACATGAAGATCAACACAAGGGGCCTTAGAACTTCATCGACGTACCGCTGTGCTGTTAGGTTGCGACAGATGACAACCAAAGGGGTTCTACTATGAAATGAAGTATAATCAAATAGCTTTTTTTTTTTTTTTTTTTTTGTTTGTGTGTGTGTGTGTCAAGAATTTATAATCAAATAGCTCAGTCTGACCCAACTGATGAATGAAAAATTTTAACCCTTATTTACCTTTAGTATTTTTAAGCATTCAATTGTTCGGTTCTTTTTATCATCTTTTCAAGCTACACCAGATTAAAGTCAATGGCTTTAGGTATTTGGTTTTACATAATTGTATTGACATTTGTATTGTGTGTGCAACTTTTGGCTTGCTAAATTGGAAAAACAAAATGATATATATAATGTTGTGATGTTTATGACTGCCTCTTTAATTTAAGTTCTAAATTAGCCAAAAAAAATTAAAAGTATAGCATTATAAATAATATGGCACTCAAATAAGTGGCTATAGATAGCCCAAGGAGACTATGAATACTAAGCAAATCCTCTTCGGCACACGAGAAATATTATAAATTCTTAAAACCGTGTAAACTCTAAAAGGAATTTAGCTATTTCTTCTCAAATTGTAAAGTGTCATAGTTGAATAACAAGTGGCTCATTCTGGCTCTCAGAGCCATATTTATACGGTAGTGCATGGTCTTCTGGAAACTTTGGCCAAAATCAGCTGTACAATTTCAAAAATGCATTTTGTTGAATTTTATAAAAAGTCTCCAAATGTCCAATCTTCTGAGAATTGTCACCAACGTCTGTCAAGATCTTATTTACCCTCATCATTTCGCATTTTAATTGAGTTATTTTTATAATTCATATGCTGTTGGGCTCAGAATCAAAAGATCTACGATTCTGTTTTAAATCTTTTAATTCAGCTTGAGTCTGTTTTTGTTTAATAGAACTTTGCATGATGCTTATCATAAGGAAAAATGAAGCAATTTACTCTCCTTTTGTAAATGTACATGGTCTGTCACTTATGTTGGTAAGTCTGACATATCCATTTTCTTTGGTTAAATACACTAGAGCAGCTGCAATTAAGTCCTTTTAAATGTGTATTTTCTTAAGGAAAATCAGTAATTCCTACGACCAACTTGGGCCTTGTAACTTTTCGCTGTATTTCTAATGATACATTCTGTTCTGAGAGAGACAATGATTTTTATGGTTGGGTTTCAGTATTTTCTGATTATCCATGAAATCTGGTATGTATCCCCTTGTGAAAAGTGGGCAATTTCAAGACTTTGCTAAAACCATATATTTGGCTCACAGATTCACAGGTAGTTCACATCTATTATTCTCTTCATAAGAAATAATGAAAAGAAACATTTAATAAGAAAAGTGGGAACAAAAGTAAAAATCTGTATGGCTATGTTTACATTTGTACAGCTGTTTATCAGAATGATGCTGTATAATCTGCATGTACTCAGTTACATATGTGGTACATGCATACATGAAGTGGTTATTGTCGTGTGCATATTCAAAAGTACACAAAAAAAATGTGGCAGTTTTTTTAATGCTGAAACCATGTAAGTAACCATAAAGTCCATGAATTTCTTCCAGAATGGTGGAAAAGACTGGTAAGAAGCAGAACAGAAGGGAAGGAACTGAATGGCATTAATAATGATGACCCTTTTAGAATTGCTAAAGAGAATGAAATCACTAATAGCAATTTAACTTTCTTGAAAATAAATGCTATATTATTTTTGCTATTCAATAATTTTCTTCAAAGAATCCAATCACGAGTATGGTAAAATTCTTATAAAAATTTATCCAGTAGGACAAAAAAAAAAAAAAAAAAAAAAAAAAAAAAGGAGGGGTCATTACAGTGCAAGGTTTTGTAACTGGATTGGAAAAACATTTTAATTTTTATATTTAAATAGCTGGCTTTTAAACAAGTTTCACTCCTCAAATTTCCCACTGAAAACAGGAAGCGTGATTTTTGCAAGATTTATTGACATTATTTTTAATTGACCTTTGCTATTTAAATTCGAATGAGTAGAACTGTCACTATTTTGATTTAGATAAGTAGAACTGGTTTCACTAATTTTAAGATTAATTACCTTGATTAATCAAGGTTTGTAGACTTACCTGTGAATTTTGCAACTCTTCATCTAGCTGCAATAAATTTTTTCAGTTTCTCCAAATCATTTTCGCTGATAACTTGATAATATTCCTCCTTTAGAACTTCGAATTTATTTTTAAGTTTTGAAATCATATCCAATTGAGCATGCAGTTCGGCGATATTCTTTTTATCTTCACGTATAGTAATCTTCTTCAACTCTCCATTTATGTTGCCACATATATAATAAGTTTTGTAATGATTGTTTCTGTAGTCATTGTTCTTAAGATTGAAACTGTTTTGGCAAGCCTTCAGCTTGACAGACCAACTGTACAGAGATGTATGGCTTGTTCAGAAATAAGCACAGCAGACTGTAACAGAAAATTTAAATTTCATACTGAGGCATTGTTTCCCTAAGTAAACTCTACTTGTTGCTGAAGCTTCCTCCCTTGAGCAAATACAGAGTTCGTACTGACTCATTCCTGCTGCTAGAGGATGTACATAGACAAGCTGCTGGATGCATTATGGCATACATTATGTAACAAGAAGTTATGAGGTTATTATAGATAATGCTTTCAACCTCCCATCTCCTTTAAAAAAATTAATTTTCAAAATCTATGATATTTAGAAGCGTGTAGTGTAGAAAATTTTTTTGAAAATAACTGTTGCCCATTGTGCATCAGCTTGGCAAAAAATTAGTTGTCAATGAACTCACAAATGTTCTCCAAAGTCAATAATAAGTTTGCAGCTTTTCAATTTCACAGATAATCAAAAAGTAGAATGTGGCTTCAGTATTTTTTAGAAGTTATTATAAGAAAATGATATAAGTAATAAAATGCCTGCAAATATAGCAATATTATTAAATATGGACTTATATTTGTTCCATTTAATGTTTTCATATTTCTCTAGTATTTGTTTAATGACTTTTCTAATAAATGTGATTTATTTAAAAAAAAACATTTTTAAACAGTATATTGCATTTATATTACATTTTTTGTAATGCATGCATGTGTTCATTCATTCTACTAACTTAGAAGGTAGATTTTATTTAAAAATCTATTAACGATGTGTTTTGAGAAATGTCAGGATTTGATCTCACTAACCATTGAATTCTGTAATTTTTTAAAGGCTCAAATGAACTATGAAAGTTTTGTTAAACATGCAAAAGAATGGACCACGAAACATGCCAAACAAGATCAAGTTAAACAGGTTTGTTTTCTTTCAATATGTTATAATTCTTTCATAGCTTTTTCTAGAAATATTTTGTTGAAATCCGTTTAGTACATTTAATTAAATTAGTAGATATTGTAATATTTAAGGGTACCTAGTAATATTGTATACATTTATTTGCAAAATTTTCCAGTATAATATTAATAACAGTTATATTAATGATAATGTGTATTAACATTTTTGCTGCTTTTTAAGGTTGTAGATGTTCGAATGACTGTAATTTGCAATATATTGTCTCTTGTTGCTGTGTCATCCTTTTTCTGGATTACACACTGTTTCTTCCTCCTCAAGCATATCTGATAATCTTGTAGCTGTTATGTTTGATTGTGGTAGAATATCAAAATTTTATCCTTCATTGTCTTTTCATACATTCTCAGTTTTCCAGTAATACTTTAAAATTCAATAATATTACTTCAAAAGGAAACATTTATGCTTTTGCTATTTAGTTCGCCAATGTCCGCCACCTAGCCAGCTGTGACAGACTTAAAAACAATGGAATGCCCAAATGTATTCACTTACATTCAAGACACATAATGCAGTTTCAAATGTGAAATGTTCAGTAACATTATTTTTAATAATTACTCTGTCAGTAACATTTAAAAAATGTAAATTTATTTTGGAATACTCTGTATTAAATGATTTAAGTAAATAATCAAGCAGTCTTGCAATCTAGAGCAAGTTACATTTGACATCAATTTAGTACAGTAGTGTAAGCTATCAACGTGTAATCTTTACCGAACTACTGGTCATTTCCAGAGAAAGTTGCTATGATATGATTCATTAATGTGTTAAGAAAGAACAAGAAATAATTCAACGTTTTTCACATAAAGGAATAAAAAAATTAAATTTTAATTAAGAACAAATAAATATATTTAAATGGGAAATCTAAGTTCAATAAACCCTCTCTCAGGCAACCATTTATAGTTCAAAATGATTTACTCTTCTATGAAGTTGATCATCTTAGAAAGATGAGATCAATAAGTTTCATACTTATACTGGTCGCCTTAGGAGTGTTCGTCTTAGGAAGATGCTTCATTTTATGTTATAAAACGTTCAGGCAATAACTAAAAAATTTTCGAATAAAATTTATCCACAAAATAAAATAATACTTTTTAAAGTGCTTATAAGAAATGGCTAAATGTAAAGCTAAATATAAAGAATTCTCTTCAAAGCAACTACTCAAGATTCCACCATATCTTTTTTAACTTGAGTGGATGTTAAGATACAAACGTTTCTGAGAGACATTCACTGCAATTATATATTATCTCTAAAAAAAAAATCTGCTTTTAAATTTTCTGAGTATATTTTTAGATTTGAATCTTCCAATGACTGATGTAAAAACGAACTAGTTTCCATTAATATTTCTCTGCTGAACTGACCACAAGTGCCTGGGCACTGGCACGGCACAGCCCAGTTCATCTGACGAATGAGCTGTTTGTATGAGATTTTCATGATTTTCCTAATGTATAATGTGGATACGTGTCTGTTCCTAAAAAACTTCTCTACAAAGGCATTCCCCACTTAAGCAGATAGTCCTAGTGGGCTTTGGCGTAATCCAATAAATCCAAATCTCATATTGATATATTATGTGGCTGATTTTCATCATAACTAACAAATCAACACCCAAACCTTCATGAAAATGTTAACAAGACTTTAAGAATAAATGGAAACTAAACGATATAATTTTGACTAAAACAATATCAAATTAACAAACATGAAAGAAAGCAACTTAATAATTAACTAAGCAATTTTTATAGAGGTAACCTCAAACAATTATTTATCTTCCTTTTTCTAAATTTTTTAGATTGTATTTCTCATGAAAATTATCAGTAAAACTTTATAAAAAGATTAATTTAATAATTGACCTTTGTTAATTAACTATGTAAATTTAAAATTCTATTAAGTGCTATAAGTTGCATTAATTTTCTACTCATTTTGAAGTGCTTAAGTTTCCTTCTTACTTTTTCAGCAAACATTTATTAGTTCATTCAAAAATATGAAATATAGAAGTAAAAATATCCCTCTTTCCTTCTTGCGCTTCCAAATCATCTTGCAAACATGCATTTAACTTTTAAACCCTGAAAAATACATGTGTGCAATGCGATGACTTGTAGGTGCTTTACTTTTTATCATGATATTTTTGACAATGATGCTTTTAAACTGCAAAGATTTTGGACCGCTTTATTTTCAATGATGATATTTTGCAGCATGGTGTTTTCTCTTTGCTTTCTCTCCCCCCCCCCCACACACACAATGTTTTGCATCACAACATTTTCACCTTGTGCTGTTTTCTTTGCCATGTTTGCGGCAGACACCCTGAAAATTAACTGTCATTTAGGGGGGGATTATTTTAGAGATTAATAAGGACTGTTTATTATTTCCAATGGCAGGCACTAGCCATTATAGGTATAGTCCTTTTGGTGGTCAATTTATTATAGAGACATCTAATAGGTGTGCCATCATTGCCTCCTATGAAGGGACAGACAATTTACTTCCATACCTTTTCCAGGATTTAAATGCCTTTCCGGAATCTAGTCTAAAAAGGCAGGTGAGTAGTTATTTGATGATATACTCTGTATCACTGTACATCTTCCCTTCCTGTAGCAATCATCCTCCCAAATCATGGAGTTCTTTCTCTTGTGCCTTGTATATGCATATACGTATATGTACATTAATTATTTAACTTCATGTTTTATGAATATATATTAGTTATTTAAACTTTATCATTTTTATTTTTAACAGGAACATATTTCAAGTATTTCGTGTGGAAAAACTGGTGAATCTGATTCTAAAAGAAGAAAATTAATATGATTTTTTTTATAAATATTTTTTACAGTATGTTTTCTGCACTTTGAATGTATAAATTGTAATTAATAGAGTTTTTTGAAAATTGTATTTAGAACTGTACATAATTTTATATAATTTTTAATAAATATTTATGCAATGACACATGCTGGTCAGATATCTAGTAAATTTAACTATTCATTGTATAAGTCTGAATGCAAAAGATTAACCATTTAAAACATTTCAATTTTTTTGGTAACATACTTTATTTGTTTCTCAGAAATGAAGAGGTTTGATGCAAAACCAGTATCAGTTTCTTGTATTTTAGTTAGATGATTTTTCTATATATCTGTTGAAAAAAAATGCAGGGGGAAGAAACTTGATTACTTAATTGCATGACAGGAATGTAGTCCTTTGTAAGGTATATGTAAATATCCAAGCATAAATTATGTAGAATTTATGTTTAAATTTTTTAATTCATTTGAATTAGTATGTATATGTAAATCTAAGAACCAAATTTCTTTTATGTCAAATTTCCATGTTCGGGATAAACATTAATAAAGTTCCATAGAGAAAATGAATAAATGAATACCATATTGAGGAATTTAAACAAATGAGAAAAATGAGTCTTCTGCTTAATTTAATATTGGAGTTGTGAATTTCTTGATTGAGTAAATGTGCTTATGTTTTCATCTATGATGTGTGCTGAATTCTAAAATTTTTAAAAGTCAATTGCAAGTTTAAAATCTTGCAAATAAAAAACTTTCTATTTTCAGAGTAGTGCAATATATGAAAAGAATTAAAGAATGAGGAGTTTGCTTACATTGTGGAGTTACGTGTATGACAATTTACTTAAAAAGTGCTTTAACTTTGATCTGTACATATGAGTAATGTGCATTTCTTGCAGAGTAATCCCTTATCAAACACTTGTTTGCAGAACATGATTTCACATATACACATTATTTTAACTGTTTCATTTAATTTGTCCAGTGCTAGATTTTCATTTGTATGTGGTTCAATATTCACTTGAACTCTGAATGCTTGCTGATATCAGTTCAGGCCAAAAATTATCATCAATTTTAAAAGATTTTTGTTGACTAAAAATGAAACCAAAGAAGTATACAAATTACAAAAGCAGTTGATGATGAGAGATTTTCAGATATGGAAGAAATAAAAAAAAATAAAAAAATTAATCAAGAAATGACAAATGAAGAACTGGATATTTTTGTGAAAGTTGTAATAATGAAGTAGATCAAACAACTTTAATTTACAAAAGATTAAACAAATTATTAAAAAAGGCACAAGAACTGCATGATTTTGCAATGGAGATTGACCCAAATGAAGACAGCAGAGGATGCTTTATGAGAGGCAAACTCTGCAATCTGTACCATGACACTTTTTAAAAATTGTCAATCACTCTCCTAAAGAAAAATCACTAAGCTTTTAAACAAATAATTTTATCGCATACTTATTGAGCAATAAAAACCCTTTCAATTATCATATGTTTAATTCTCTTCCTTTCAATACAAGAATATTTAGATTTGCGTAAATTATACATACTTTCTTAATCTGAATTACACCAATTAAATGAAACATATTTTTATCATAGAAAGTTAATTTTGTGAAATGCAATTTTTGCCATATACGCAATATATGAATAATGTAACCCCCACATTTGACAAGGGTTTACTGTACTGGTGCACCTGTGTGGAGAGCTATTATAATACTTGTAATGTAACTAAAAGTAGCTAATTAATATTGCCTTTTATGTTTTTATCTAATAACCATGCAAAACCGTGGCAGTAACTATGCCAAAGTACCATAAAATTTAAGAAATTTGTTTCATTCTTGGTACATGCCGCTGCATTTCCATAGTGAATGTTATGTTCCAAAAATGAAGTACATACATTGTATCAAATTGGTTATGTATGTAACCAGAGAAGACATCCAAGCTTACAGCAAGTATGAAAGATAAGATTATATGTTAGTCAGCTGTTATGATGGATACTGTAAAAGTTGACTTTGTGATATGTCCTCAGAATAACAGAAAATCTTTAGTGTGGCTATAAGTAATAGCACCATTCAGATAATGTAATATCCCTCGTCCTCTTTTTTCAAAATATGTGTATTAAAATAATTCTATAGCATCTCATAGCTAAAATATGGCACTTTGCTTAGGTTCATGAACTGCTTATTAGGAGTAAAATGTTAGAGATGTGCAGCCTGGTCTTCAAGTTTCCAGCTATAAGCAAATTTGCAATTATATCTGCAGAAAATCTCATAAAGCAATTGATCCAATTATTAGTAAGGGGACAACCCCAGAGTGGCTATGGCTTTATTATGGGACAGAAGTTTTTTGTTACATAACCATATATGTCAATCTATGTCATCTTTTCATGCAGGTAAAATCAGTGAACATCAGCAGTCCTGTCTGGTAACTGAACTGACTAAATAGATGCTTTCATGATATCACACATCTGTTATGTGTTAATGAGCATGTTTTCTTTATGAAATGCTCCACAAAGGCATTTCTTTCCTTAGACAGCTTTGCCATAATCTGTTACACAAGCAAACTCTTAAATTTTTTTATATTATTATTGTATGGTAATGTAACATTTTATTTGCTAAATTTGTAAGACCTAACTTGAATATAAAAGTTATTAATCTTAATTTGAATTTTTATATATTTATGTTTTTATTTCAGTTATGTGATATTGAAAAATTTTATTTCCATAAATCATACTTTATTCATATAATGCTAAAAGCTATTTACCTTATATAAGAAATGGAAGTTTTTATTTGCAGTTGTATAAGCATCCCACAGCCATCCACAAGTAGTTACACTGATTCACTTGTGAGGACCTACCCATTTTTTATCAAAGTTTATTTTGTTAGTTTTCTGATTATTAAAGTCCATTTTACATTGCATACATTAAATGTGGATGGCTTTATATAATGAGTAAATAGTTAATTTTAATAGACTCTCATGTATATGTAAAAGAAAAAAATTTTGTTATTATATTGACTACAACAGTTTTTACAAAAAGACTTTTGAGACAAGAATGATTAAATTTAAGTTATGATAGTCAAGCAATAATTTTCAAGAACTGTGAACTTTTACAACTATTTCTTGAAAGAATTAGGACAGTCTTTATAATATTTTCAGAGAAAAATGAACTTGCAAACTTTTAAAATTGGACTGAAAAGTTCAGTAGAACTCTAAAATTTGCATACATTGGTCAAAAATGTTATATTCAAAATTTAGATTAAAATCTTGATTTTTCTTTTCCCAAAAATTATATTTCCCTAATTTTGCTAATGTTGTAATACTTCTTTCTAAAAAGGCTTTTCTATCACCAAGCCTTTTTCTCTTTGAAGAGGGAAGATATGTGAGATGTAAAGTATGAAAGAAAACTACAGTACAAAGTCTGTAATCCGGATGTCCATTATCCAGAATGATCTATAATCCGGACCTCAAAGCTACAAACTTTTATTTTTGCATGCTTTATGCATGTGCGTAATGCGTTTATGCATGCACGTTTAATGTTTATGCATGCACGTTTAGCACCAAAAAGCGAAACAACTTACATTGAAAGAAATGTTTAATAAAGTAAAAAAATAAATATTAAGCTTTTTTGTGTAAATTTTGATACTCTTTAGATCATAATTGCTCTTTATTCCATAAATTACAGTTTCATATTTTAATTATATAATTTCTGCATGCCATCTTACCAGATTTAAATTGATGATCTATAATCCAGATAAGCCCTTAATCCAGAATCGTCAAAGTCCCAACGAGTCCGGATTATGGACTTTGTACTGTATTAACTTTAATTTAGCGATAGCCTTTTTGATTCCTTCTTTTAATTTGACCATACTCCCTTCTTAGAATCTAAAGTGCATCATTTGAAGTCATCTGTAAATTAACTTGCATTGCACCATTACATAAGAGTAGCACTGCAGATACTTTTTATCCAACCACAGCTCAAAATTGAAACAAAGTCTGTAAATATCACTGCTACTATTGTGTAGCCTTTTTTTCCTACTTTGCTTCCTGTTTGCCAACATACCTTTGCTGTTTTGTTACCGCTGTCTAAAGAGATGTAAGGTGCAGAGCTTAAATTGCAGCGGAGCCTGGCTCCGGTACTTCTCAGTTTTCGAGATAAATTATAATTTCAATCGGAGTGCACCAGAGCCCTAAATAGAAGGGCTCCGGCACTTCTTTTATGTAAGTGAACCACAATTTTAGCAGATGAATTTTGTTTTAATAGTAAACATGCCTTAAAAATCAATTCTGACTTCTGAATGCAGGCCCGTCTTTCCTTCGCACGCAAACCTTGAGGTTGAGACTTTTAAGGAAAGGAAAGCCCCTAATCACATGTCAGAGGCTTATTCTCCAGGATGCGCAATGAATTTATGACAATGGGCGAATTTTGTTTTCCTTAAAGTAATAAAAGTGATACCCTGGTCGTGAACATTCCACGCTAGCGAATTCCTATAGCAGAACTCCCATAGAATGATGTAACCAAATGGTAGGGACCACTATTGTCACTTGTACAGAGATGTCTTATGTTTATTCTCATGTTGTTACTGAATCGTATTCAGAGAAAATTTCTCCTTGATGGCTAGAATTATATCGACAGGGCATCGCGATCAGAAAGTCTTGAACTCTTCCCTCTTTATTTTCAAAGCTGCACATTTCCATTAAAATTTTCTTCCATATCTTCATACTGTTTCAAGAATTCTTACGATTCTTCTTAGTGGAGCTTTAATCGTTTTAATTTTTTTCTTGGTGTGCTCCAAAAAAAGAGTGGTACCTGTCATCCCTAGAATTAGTATATTATACGTATAATCAGGGCTTTAATTCAGATGGAAATCGGCTGAGCTGCTTATTAGCTTCTAAGTGGAATTGCAGTTGCAGTCGATGCCTCAAATAAGACAAGGTCCGATATTTTTCTATTAACTAATTAAAATTAATTTAATATTTTAATTTTTAGCTATTTTATTTATTTATTTTCTCTTTTGTTCCTCACAGTCTTCCATAGGGCTACGGTGCTTTTAATTTAAAAAATTAAGCCCTGGTGAAGTGTATAAAATTTTAGGGTGCATAGTGTACTCTTAATGATGACCTGAACTGATTTTAAATGTATCAAGGCTTTAGGTTATAATAACATGCCGAATAACGATCATTTTAGAAGTCAAACAACGGAAATCAGTGTTATATTTGCAGATTAATATTCAGATGGATTTTTTATGGGCAATTTGCAAATATAACACTAATTTATGTTGTTTGACTTTTAAAATAATTATATCAAGGCTTGCTTTATTAAAATAAAACTGTGCTGAATCAATACCACCTCTGCTAAAGTTTTACTTCTCTGTTATATCATCTTATATATCTATGCAGCTGTTTGCTTAGAATTTATATAACAGGTACATAAATACATATATTTTCTATATATATGCAACTGGCAGTTGAATAAAGAAATGTGTTTGGTAATGATTGATTTTACATCATGCATCCCTCCCCCTCTCATAGTGAAAGTATTATCAATCAATTTATTTGTACTTTCTCCCTCTATTTTTCACTTTTGCATGTTTCAATTACCAGATTTCTTCATTTGCTTCATATTCTGCCGGTTATTTACTATATAACCGGCATATAATTTACTATATAAATATATGTATGTTTTC